TGAAGGGTTCTTTTCTGTATGCCCATTCTTTGCTAACTACATTTAAAAAGATACTTGAAATATTAAGTTATTAACAAAGTCAAGAATGGAAATGTAGCCCAGTTGCTTCTATTGAATTTTTTATATCCATTAAAGTGTTGTGAATTTCCCTCTGAAATTAATTAGGATTATTGCACTGGCACAGGAATATCTCTATATAGGGAATGCTTATAGTACAGAGGTAAAATTAATTATTTTCAAAGGGTAAATATAAAGATTTTAATGACACATACTGTAGCTGCCAACTATGAGGTTTTCCATGGAATAATTTTCCAAATAAGCCTGAGGTCTTGCAGCTACTGGCAGGGGAGCCTGTATGTATTCTGCTGAATTTCAGCACTTACATAAGATCTACACTGAAAGCCAGATTTATTCACTCTTATATGTGTTGAACAATACCTTGGTTTACACTTGTTACCATCAACTTCTTGAGGTCTTATTTGGGGAAAAAAAAGAAAAAAAGAAGGAGAGTACTTTTATGGAATAGGAAAAAAAGGAATTTAAGGAGATGGTCAGATGATTAAATTGCACCGTGAAGAAACTACTACTTTGGCTGAAGATGATTTAAAGAACAAAGATGATGGGTGAGGAGAGCAACTTCTGAGCAGAGTAAGAGAGACTGATAATTTAGGTTTATGGAAAGTTTTGGAATACCTTGTGACTGTATATTACTTACTGGTTTAAAATACATGTAGGCCAGCTAAGAAGTCTTTTACTTTAAAAGTCACAGCTTGACAAACTAAACAGACGATTGCATGTATGTTAACTGGTTCTGTTACAAAAGATGCATGCATAGAAGATGCAGGTCCTCTAGTATGTAAACTATATGCAGAGTGATTACTTATTACTTTTTTTCAAACTCTTCCCCCTGTAGAATGTGTATCTCCCTGTAAATTCTACACAGGTTGCTACACAAGACAGCTTAAAGCATTCAAGACAGGGAGATTGCTTTGCTCTGTGAGCAAACATGGTGCAAGTTAATGTCAGCTACAGACACTAGAAGAAAGCTTTCCTTTTAAACATCATGGATAGGTCACAAATATATCAGTCTTGTAGATCTAAGTGTAAAAATTTCCATGATAGGAGTGAAGGTGAACAAGGATGCTCTACATACACTTATCCAGCGCCTTCTGAGCCTTCCATTTTCCCTTACTTTCCCACACAACCTTAATATTCTTGTAATAACATACTGCCACCATGTTTAATGGCTAGCACTCCATGAAGTGTATCATACAGGGGACTTTCATCTGGTTCACTAGTTTTAAATGTAACATAGCAAACACTGAAACAAGGGCGAAAAAATTGCAATGACGCCGGCCTTCTTAGGATGCACTATGGGACCAGTAGTATCTAGGCAGAGATGCGATTTTGGTCTGCCTTCAGGACCAAGACATATCTGACAGAACACGCCAAATAAGAGATGGATGTTTGAATTTCATCACAGTACTGATTGTACCCTACCACTGTTTTCAAACTAATCTCACTGAGAGGCCTGGGCGTAATACTGAATACTCTGGGAAGTATGAGGGCTGTGCGTGCTATTGCTTTTCAGGGCTCTTTATCATTCTGCTTCTTACAGCCCTCTTGAATGCTATTGTAAATACAGTGCTGACACTCTTGGATCACTGAAGGCATGAGTTCCCAGCAGCAGAGTACATGCTGAATTTTCACACATTTTTGCAGACCTTAAGAGAACTGGATATTCTTTTACCTCCAGGCAAGACTCTGGTAGAATATTCAACACCAAGGAAAAAAAAGAATCCAAAAATTGTTACATTGAAATAACAGCTTTCTTCAGCAGAAAGGAGGGAAATAAATGAATGTTCCAAATGCAGACTTGCTTGAAAGATCTGTAACTATGTAGTTTTCAAGTTTTCAATTATCACTTATATTACAAGCTGTTTATTAGAAGCTGTTTTAACAAAAGTGCTTTATTACTTTTTAGTTTGAGATTTTTTTTACCTAATTGCCCTAAGGCTTGCATACGTATTACTCTATTTTGTGCTTATTTTCTGCAATAGTTCACTTTCAAATATTTATGCTACTGTGTCAAGGATGGTGTAAATGCATGCACTAATTATAAAGATGTCTGAATTGCCAGGATACAGTGATAAAAGAAAAGCTTCAGTGACACTTCTCTCATCTGCTTCTGAATAAAAAAAAAAAAAAAAAGATTGTGGAGAAGATCCAGATTTCCCCAGATCATTACTCTTCCCCCTAGAATCTCACTGGACTGACTTTGGTCCCTGTTGACTTTATCAGCAGTTCTCAGTGATTTCACCTGTAATATGTCTGACCTACACCAAATGAAGGTCTGCCCCAACATATTGTTCCTGCTTCAAAAATATCTACTTCTATGTGGCTTAGAAAGAGAAAAATTTACTGTAAACTACTGGGCATTTCTTTTATAAGAAAGGAAGATTATAATTCTGCTGAGTAGTTATTTCTCTTTTATGGGTGGCAGTAGAAATGTTAACTCTGATCATGACCATTAGTTTCTTGCATGTATTTGATTTCTACCTAAAGCCATGTGCATATGCAACTTAGCCCCCACACTACTGATTTTTTTCTGTAAAAGTCTTCATTTTTCAATTATGAATCATATGCACTTCATGTTCTCCAATGAACTTAAGAAACAATCTGCAAAATGTTATCTTTTCCTGCACAAGTACTTCATTTTACAGGATCTTTTAATACTTAATTTTAAATAAAACAAATGTATTAATAGTTTAGACCTGACAATCACCTTTCCTAGCTAAAGAAAAATTAAGGGCATAACTCACTTCTGTGCCTTTTGACATTTGCAGATATTTTACCTACAAATCCTTACCGATATCTACAAATACAATGATTCTTTCATTCTTGCATGCTGGATAAGGTTCTGGGAAACCTCTGAGAAGTGTGTAATGATTACAGGGTTGAACTGTGGCTGATTAACTAGTGAAAGTGCTCCCCCCACTTCTGACCCATGGAAGCGTTAGAATTGCACTTTGCCCTGCTGAAGGAAATAGCCTGGTATTTCTGTACCAAAATGTTTTATGACTATCAGAATTGTCTCTTACTTTCATCTACCAAAATATTTTCTGCAGTTTCCCTGGGCTATAGCAGTTGCTTTTTTAATCCTTTTTTTTTTCCTGGTGTGACATCAGGGGAGACAGAAGCAGTACTCTGCCTAACAGGCAATGAAACAGCCACTGATTTGCAAGGATTTTTGAAGGGCTGTTTTGTGTCAGTGGCTGTTATTATGTTTTAATTTTCCTATGAAGCTAAAATTTAATGGCCTTAAACATCAAGAAAGAGAAAGAGATGGAAAATTATTTTCATTTGAATATAGCCTTAAGATCAACCACAGATTACAGGAAAGATAAGGAGATACTCTATGAAATTCTTTGCCTGGGCAAAAGGAAGATCAGACTATTTGCAGTTTATCAGTCTGTCACAGGTCGTATTAGAAAAAACTTACTGCATACGTGACTCTAAGGATGAGTGAATTAATTGAAAAACTTCAGATCCTCAGAGGAAATTGCTGTGTGAGTACAGAGATAAAATTTGCCTGTTTCTAGCCTACTTTATATTACGTACTATAGTAGATAGCATGTGCTGTTCCTGAAGTGACAGAATATATGGTGGAATTCAGTCTCTCCTTGACCTCCAGAGTATGTGACAGGCCTTAATTAATACATGTTAAAGTATTTTGTGATTATTGAGTGTAAATTATTCTATACAGTAAATGTAATCTATTAGTTTTGTTGTAACTTTGCAGTGATAAACCTGTATGTCATAAATTCAAACTTATTTTATGACACAGATCAGTACATGTTGAGTACAACATAGGCATTGCAATCTGAGGTAAATTGTGTCTAAATAGTGAAGATTTTTAAAAAAATTTATAAGGTGTTTTAAAGAAACAATTTTCTTACAAGATTTTAAAGAAACTTTACTAGATTATTGAAAAAGTAGCTTTCATCATATGTAATACTGCAAAGGGTGCATCAACCTGAGTTCTTACCACAGGCACCAAAGTCTTTTCGTCCTTTAGACTGCTCTAAGTATAAAAGCTTAGAGAGGGCTGCTGGAAAAAAAAAAAAAAAAGACAAAAAAAAGTTCTTGAATCTGTACCATTGAAGCCCTGACTCTTCCCGTTTGGCAGGTCTTTCAGCCAGTGATCACACTGTGGGCACCCAGTGTTTCTCTCGGCAGTGCTTGCTGGGCATGGTCACTGCCTTCTCACAGTTGCAGTGATGCAACGTTAGGAAGCGGTTGCTCAGAGCTTAGCCAAACAGGAAAACTGAAAAGCAAGGAAAGCCGAATATCAGGACCTTTTTAAAAATGTAGGTCCCATCATCAGGGTTGTAAGCCCTTGTTGGAAAGGTTCTTTCTTTGGAGAAGCACTGAGCATGTAACAGCTCCACTACAGAGAACAGAATCTTATCTTTGGTCAACAACTGCTTTTTATTTTGTAAAGCAAGGTTTTTATGAGCCAAGTCTTAGATACCCAAAACACTAAGACTGTGCTTCTGGTCTCTCTGTACACTTAAGAGTCTGATGCTTACTGCAAAGCCAGCCAGACTCATCTTTCCCAGCAGCTTGGGAGAAAGAATCTCACCCAGTATCCTGGATTTTCTTCACTTCAAGCCAGGATCAAACCCTCTGATTTCCCTGAGGAAAGTGGGGGGGGGGGAACCCAGAGGCCCTCCAGCCTTCATCTATACGACCCTGTGGGTAAAGGCTGACTTCAGCTCTGTATTTTGTTTTGCTGATCTCTGATAGAAAAATGTTAGCTGCCTTTTCAAGGGCTTTTTGGGATTCTGGCTACACCCTGATAAACTAGAAGGCATCCAGATACCCACGCAGAAGATGGTATATCTGTATAAGGAAATACTACCATTTTAACTTTAACTAGAACTTGACTATGATTAAATGTTTTGTTTTAATAAAGAAAAACCTTTTTCTCTGAACAGGTGTACTGCAGAAGGCTGGTATCTGTTTGCAGACAGCTCAAATGGAGAATTTGGTCACATAGCTGACATTGCTACCCCAGTCATCTCCCTTACAGGACCCAAATGCAAAATCATATTCTGGAACTACATGAATGGTTCAACAATAGGTTCTCTGGAGGTACATAGATGTTCTTGTTTGGGGTGGGTTTGGTTTTTTTTTTTGGGGGGGGGGTTGTTTGTTTGTTTTTTTTCTGCCCAAAATTGCTCTGAGAATATTCATGTCTTGTCATTTATATTCATTAAAGCTTAGGCTGCTCTTAAAGGAAAAAGAACAATTACTAACACTCCACTGCTCTCATTATGTTACGATATGAAGGAAGCATCAGCTAGAGTAAGCTGGGGAAAATGTAACTTTCTACAACAATCATAAATTATGACCTTTATAGACATACTGTAGCTGGAAATTCCATACAAGAAAAAGCCTCGTACTGCACAATACCCTTTGACACTGATAAGCATCAGTAGATATGTGGACATTGAGGTCTTTGACTGAATGTGGGAGCATGAAAAAAAGAAGTACTTGTATTAAAATCTGCTGTAAAATTTTGTAGAAACAGCTTATTCCTCAGAAAGTTTAACATATATCCTTCAGAGTTTAATTATACTAACGTTAGCACCATTGAACTATTCCTAGGACATAACAGTAATGAACTTTCTTACCCATACACTTTTCTTCACTCCAGTTAAAATAAAAGCACTTCTTTAAAGGAAATGTAACTCGTTCAGCAGCTTGTAGATGGAATGAGTCACTGCAAAGTGAATGAACAAAAGACCAACATTGTTCTCAACAATTTTTTTGCTACACATCTGAGTAACTACAATGGGATTTCCCATGAATGTTACACAATAACTACAGCATCAGAAATGGATTGAAAAAAGTACTCAGGATAAGTTACCTAGTCACCTGCACACTCACTATCAAATTAGGTGTGGCCAGTGCATGTGGATTTAATTGTACAAATAAGTTCTCACTAGCTCGGTTACTCTGAATAACAAATTATAATGAAAAGTTAGCAGAATTCAACTGTTTTGAAGATTAAATTAAAATGCATGTTGACATTAGAAATTAAATCTGAGATGTGTCCTTCACTCCATGCATGTGACTGTTAGATGTACAGAGGAAGCATGCTTTGTGTTTTCTTGATTTTTTTCTTAAACGATTTTTTAAAATATTGCTGAATTTCTCCCAAGCAAGTAAAGTTCTTGCTAGGCTGCTTGGCAAGTAGTCAAATTTTAATTCATCAGAGTTAGTGGGAAATCAGAGTATAAAGACTTTTTTTCTCAGTTTTAAGACTCATGACAGATAAATTTGCTTCGAGATTTCTTTTCATTCACTCTGGAGTCCAGGGCTTCTTTACAGTGTAGGAACCCATGTTAGTTGGAATCAGTCCACAGAGAGTTTTGTAGAACTTAACAGCAAATTCTATGGAGCCATGACCAGTATTACCACTACAAAAGGCAAATATATAGACTTTTTTTTTTTCCCTCAGTTTCAACACAGGAGACTACAATTTCCCTCTATTCCCCCCTACCCTCCATAACTTAATTGATTTTAAGATGTACCAAAGGAAAATCACAAAACCTTTGCATTTTAAACAATGTAAATTATTACCTGGTTTCAAATGCTTAATTAAGTGATTAATAATGAATGGAAGAATAACTCAGAATATAAAATTATTTAGGTAATTTCTTATTATTTTCTTCTAAAGGTTCTAAGTATTATATGAATGTGAATCTTTTCTGTGCTTAAAAATCAATAAAGGCCTTTTAACCATCTCTTCTCCCAAAGCTACCACATTTTTACTTAATTCACAAGTTTGGATTTTTGCATGTTAGTCTGCATCCATGCTGTCAATGTCATGTATGACACGCTGAAGACTTTCCTGCTGTTTGCATGAATGGCTGTCTTCCTATGTTTCTGTGACTTTCTTAAACATTAATTATCTGTCACCTTATTGTGCAACCTAGGTTTAAATATTTGTTGGAACCATTTTTGTCTGGTTTTTGCCCTCTGACTTGGCATGGTTAACTCTACCAAAGCATTAGATGTGCTTCTTCAATAACTTGCAATGTAATTGAAAAGCATAGGACTTCAAAGTGCATTAGGGTACAGGGAAGCCTTGGATTTTAATAGCACATAAATTTATGGCCATATTTAACTTTAAAATTATAACCTTTAGCATGATACGATAGAATATATGAATTTCTGATTAAGGATTTGGTTTTATAATTTAGTAAGTAATTTACAGTGCATGTAAAAACATTTGTGTATGTGTCTGTATAGTCACACACATGTATATTCATATAATTATATAGTTTGTATTTGAGTGTAAGAAAAACCTTTTCTTATTCAGCACCTTTTATTCTCTCAAATAATATCTGTAATCCCCTTTTCTCTCCAATTTTTTTTTTCCCCCTTAAAATTCATGTCTTCTGCAGGTAGCTGTTCTTGTCTATAAAGTCAGGTGTCACTTTGTTTTTCTATTCAATTTAATATATTACATCTGTTTCTTTTGCTCCCCTGGAATGGAAGGTCTTCAGTGTGAGGATGTGCTGTTTGCTTGGAAGAACTTACCTGTTATGCAATATCATATACACTTACGGGACTGCATAAATTTTCAAAAGCCCTTTATTTTCATTAAGATGAAAAATGCCTGGGATGCCCTAAGAAGATTACACATGGTAGCAATAAATCCTTGAGAGCAGAAGTGATTCAGGCAAGTAGCGAACTGATGTTTAGCTCTGTGAGTACTGGCTGGAGACACAGCTTCACACAGTTCATCAAACACCCATCTTGTTATTGTCAACTCAGTTGAATTTGGATGCCTAAGAGGCTGGAGCAAAGCATATTTAGGACTTTGTACTCATGTCAAAAAGGGTCAGCTTTCCCCAAGTCAATGACTGTTTGCAGAGGTAAGGGTGTTTATGAGTCTTCCATTGCCAAACAGATGAAATTTGGTCTTTAGAAGAAAAGAACAAGTTTTTATTTGTAGAAGAAAAAAAACATTTCATAAGAATCAGGACAAGAAAGTCTATCACAGAATTGAGCAATCTAATGGATGCATGAATATTTTTTTCAGCAACTCTTACTGTTAATGCTGTTTCCATGTTTTACAAATGGATCCCGATCCATTAATGAGCAATTTTTATTTGCAGCTAGCCACTCTGGATAAATTAATGGGATAAATTAGACCAGATAAGACTCTGGACTGAGTATGTTTATGAGGATATCAGAAAATCTTAAAGCATTATTTTCTTAGAATAGCCATTTACACTGGCAAATCCTTTTGTTGTCAGATAGGACTTTAGGAAAAGGTTCTTCACTGAGAGGGTGGTCAGCCACTGGAACAGGTAGTCATAGCACCAAACCTGTCAGAGTTGAAGGAGCATCTGGACGACGCTCTTAGTCATATGGTTTAGTTTTAGGTAGTCCTGCGAGGAGCAGGGAGTTGGACTCGGTGATCCTTTTGGGTCCCTTCCAACTCCAGATATTCTATGATTCTATGACTCTATGATATTTAGTGGTGGTATAGAGATAAGTTGTACAAGATACTCTTGAACTCTTATATACACTTAAGGGACCTAAAGTGAGCTGGTAATGGAAAGATTTTTTGTGACCTAAAATTATTTCCTTTTTAGGTACTCTGTAAAACCAGTAATAGGACTTCTAAACTGTGGACTCAAAGTGGCAGTCAAGGTCCCCAGTGGAACAGAGCAGAAGTGTTCTTAGGAATTCGTTCAAATTTTCAGGTGTGTACTTCTATATTATGTGCTTCCTAGACTGCTGGTTTTAGGTACTTTTACAGTATGCGTTCTTTACCTCCTCATTTCCATTTTTGCCCTGTACATATACTGTACCTTCTCTTCTGAATAACAAAAGTCATCTTTTTGGCTGTCTGATTGGTTATCTGAGCTGGATGCAAGTTTCTGGAGATTTCTCACTCCCCTTCAGTCTCAGACTATCCATTTTTAAGACAAAGAATCCCTTCAATCCTTGAATCCAACTCAGGTTAAATTATTCCACTTCCTTCTCCTTAGTGTTTAGTACTTTTACATCTGGTTTTTTTGAAAAAGAATCTTGAGCATGATGTTGAGCTTTGATGATCTTGATGATCTTTGATGATCTTGAGCTTTGAAATATGAGCAGATTCCTAAGCCTCTTAGAGATACTTAGTCATGGGTATGCCATGCTTAGTTGCATTCTTATAAAAAAACCAAAACAGACAGAGCCAGGAACATATTTAAAAATGTGTTACATTCCCTGGTACTTCTGTCTTGGTGGGCTTTTAATGAAACTAGCATTCTTTTTACATTCATGGGAATAACTGATGAATGACTCGGACTAGTCTTTTCCGTGTTTACTTTGCAGAAGTAGGTGGAACCCTTGCTATTAATTCAGGACGAGTGGGGACTAGTATCTGTTTGTGTTGCTCATTTTCTTTCTTTCTTTTTTTTTTGGTGCTTGGTTGATGTTAGAAGATGGTCCTTCAGTAATTATAGTGACAGATCTGTACAAGCAGTAGTACAAACTTTCACAGGACTGTGCTTTGACAGCAAGAATTGACTACTTCATATTTCCAGATTTGCAAGGACCATCATAGTCTGTGTGCTATTCATGTTGCATGTATAAGCTTTTATATATCTTAACAGTGTCTTACCGTAATAGCTCTGCAATTTTTATTAGGTTGTTTTCAGGGCAAAACATGGTGTCAGTTACATGGGAGATGTGGCAATGGATGATATTACCTTTGAAGATTGTTCCCCTTTGGTCATCCCAGGCAGACCTTGCACATCGGAGGAATTCACATGTGCCAACAAGTATTGCATCCCAAAGGATAGTCTGTGTGATTTTGTAAATGACTGTGCAGATAACTCAGATGAGAGCCCTGCTATTTGCAGTAAGTATGATAGATTTTTTTAATATAATTATCATAAATAACTGTCCCTGCTGTGAATTGTTATTACTTCAATACCTTTGGCAGCTCATCAGCTAAGAAAGCAAACAAGAAAGTAATAATTTAATTCTATCCCTTAGCTTTTAAGGATTTTTAAATTACTGTTATTTAATTTGAAATCATATGATAGCAAATTAAAAAAAGCTGTTAGTGAATTTCTTAAAATAATTCAGAAAGCAGCTGTCTTTAAAACCAGAATAAAAATCTGCTTTCTATATGAAAAGAATGTATTAAACCTGAAAAAAATACCTCAAGCATAATACCTTTGGGATATGAGGGACCTATCTCCTTTGATATTTCAAGGATTGTCAGGTCTCTTAGCAAATCATTTAAATCCGAATACTGTACAATTTTGGTTTTACAAGACTTATCAAGAAACATCATCTGTAGTATCGCATTCAAAGAATGATGTTTCATATCAAATGGGTTCTCCTCTGGAGAAATGGTTCACAATATATAGCACTAAGACTTTATTTTTTCTAGTACAATTGTGGGAAATGCTCACACAATCAAATCTGCATTGTTTGGTACTGTGTGAATAGTTGCCTCATTTTTATTGAGATTATGAATACAGTTTATCAAATTCTTAGTGAATACAATTCTATGAAGCAAAAGTATGCTGATAGCCTATTAAGTTAAGGTACATGGCAAAGGGACCATGTTTTGCAAATTATTTTCATACTATTAAACTGCTCATTGATTTCCAAACCAGGAATAGCATGTCATTAAGCTACATGGGGACCTATTCAGATCTTCTGCAACTAAAAATGAGGAGTATATCAAGCTGGAATTACTCTGTTGAAAAAGATTCTCATATTTTGGCTTTTATTTTCTGAAATAGTTAAAAGCTCTTTACCCACTACTTTTCTGAGTTTTCTGGATTGTCTGTATTTCTCATGAAGCACCATCAGCCAAGTAAAGACAGAAGCATTAGGGGCAAGATGGTTCAAGCAGACTGATAGGATTTAGTTTGGCAACTCTCTAAAATAAGTATTTCATTCTGATTCCCCATTGGTAAAGAGATGAACTGAAACAGTCCCACAAAGAAAATGCTTTCCTGTAAAGGGCTTTTTTTACTTATTGTTTTTAAGTTTAAAAAAAAAAAGTAAAAAATTATTAAAAAAATAAATAAGAAAAGAACTTTCCTGACTGCTTTTTAAGAGGAAGCTTTACAATGAAGTATTATGGAGCCTTAAGAGCACAGGGGTCACTACTGGGGTGAAACTTCTATATCAGCATGGATTTTGCCTCGCATAAAAGATTAATCCCATTTCATAGTGTCTAATTGTGCTATAAAATGCTTAGTGACCAATTATGACTTTCTTTGTTAGGTCTGGGAGTGCTTTATTTAATAGCATTTTCAGTAATACTGTCAGGATTAATTTTTGCTTTCCTTTTTTTCCTTTTATTTTTTCAGTTTTGAAAAAGGTATGGTGCTTTAAATTTTTACTGTGTGCTGGAGAATTTGGGGTTTCTTTTATTGGTGCTGCCTCTGCCATAGAAATACATAATATAGCACTTGCTGAAAATATACTTAACAGAAAAATGCTAGTTCCGTTTTCCCAGCTTTTTCATGAAGCAGGCTGCCTCCAAAGAGAACATAATGCTAGGAAACACGTATTTCCACTCTTTGCGAAGTTTTTTTTCCATTCCTTGCAGCCATCAGAGAAGCTGTTTCCTCACTGCTGAACCATAGAACGGTAGCTTGAAAACCTCAAACTCAGAAGCCTGGGGAAAACTTTAGTAGGGCAAAGTGTGATAGATCAAAGCACAGGAAACAAGAAATGGGCAGTTTTGCCCAGGCATGGCAATTGTGTTTAAAAGACATGAAAACTGTGCAGCTCCAAAGTACCTTTTAGCAGTAGGCCTTCCAGGATCGCTAGCTCTAACTGTGGGTGTGGTTTGCTATGTGCACAGAGTCATCATATCTTAGTTAATGAAATCTTTCACACCTTGTTGAAAGAAACTAGTCCCTAATCTCTCCTGAAACTTCAGAATGTTAATAGGACTTTATCACAGGATGATACTCACCCAGCCTAATTAGCAATGTCTAGACAAAGCCAGTGCTGCTGAGATATAAGCTATGCCTCATAAAGCTGTTAAATTACTATGGAGAGATCTGTGTCTTGGTCTTGTTTGCTTTGTAGAGGGCTCTTTTTAGCTAGTTGCACGACGTCAGTGCCATAAAATAAGTCAAGTATACATTTTAACAGATATACTGATTAATCAAATGTTTAGAAATTATTCCATTAGATACTGAATGAGTGATCCATGCTCGTAGTTTTCTTTAAGCAAATCACTAGTACAATTTTCTTACTACAAGTATATGAGAACAAAATAAACCACAACAGTGCTGGAGAGGTAGTGGCTGGTAGCGCTCCTTCAACCTTGTTCAGAAACTGCTGAGGTTCGCCTTATGCTGCTTGAGGTTAGCAGTGTATCAGAAGAAGGTCCCTGAGGCAGCTCTGGTTAGATTGAGTTGAGTATGCCTCCTTGAGGTAGAAATGGTGTTTTATGAGATCTAGTAAATTAATTTTTGTAAAATGCTGTGGGGCAGTAGTGTTTTTCCAGTCTGAAATATGGATTAGTGCCAGTGCAGGTGGCTGTACTTGGTAGATGTTTGGTTTTGTCTGAGCTTGATTAATGTTTGGTTTAGCTCATCAGTGTGCTTCTGAAGCAAATCTCTCAGTTATTCCTATTTATTGCAATCTGGTTTGCATTGTAGAGCGTGCTCAAGCATATGAACTAGGCTTCTTTCATTAGAAAATGGAAAGATGGGCTCCAGGAGGGCATCAAATGTATTCTAACCACTAGTGGTCATTCAGACCACAGGACCGGTCTATGCCCCCTCAGTCATCTTTCCTCTGCCACCCCCTTAAAAGTCATCAGGTCGTCAGGATCAGGTGTTTTGCTCTACAGATCTGCTCCTATAGCTCTGTATTCTTGTTCATCTAGGCATAGCTGATGGGAATAATATGACTTAAAATAGTTTAAATTTTGCTCCATTTAATTACTTAGTTTATTACGAAAAGATTCATTAGATCTTTTGTGATCAGTATAATACAATTCACATACCTACTGTTAAGTGTTTTTCTTAAATTATTAAGTTCTTATCCAGTAGACTAATTCAGCTCCACAGACAAAAGGATTAGCTTTGCTTCTGTACTTCATTACCAAGAAGAGTTCATAGAATCATAGACTGGTTTGGGTTGGGAGGGACCTTAAAGATCACCTAGTTCCACCCCCCTGCCATAAGCAGGGACACCTTCCATTAGACCAGGTTGCTCAAAGCCCCATCCAACCTGGCCTTGAACACTTCCAGGGATGGGGCATCCACAACCTCTCTGGGCAACCTGTTCCAGTGCCTCACTACCCTCATGGTGAAGTTCTTCATAGAAGTGTCTACTACCAAAGATTTAATACACAAGTGCAGAGTCATCTTCTGTAACTTGAGTTTCTACGCAGGCTACCTAAGTTCCCTTTTTCATCAGTGGAGTGACCCACTTCCAGGCTGAAGTTTTTGTAATTTAAAATTGGTTGTTTGAGTCAGATTGGATAAATTGTCTTATAGATATAAGTCTTTTTCTTTGTTGACTATAGAGATCCTACAAGGACATCTAAATTTAGATTAGGTAACATGCAATAATTAGGAGGGATGTTCACTGCTCATGCCTTAAGGTCTTGATTCTTGAAAACAGGCCTTTAAAATAAAATGGTCAGTTGCAAGCACAAATTTTCTTGACTTAAGATGGAATTTGTAAGTAACTGAAGGAATTTCTTTAACTAGGATCCTGAAATATCAAGTAACTAAATGATCATATGGTAAAAGATGAGGAGTGACAAATTTTATGGGCAGTTACATTCAGTTGAGGTAAACTACAATCTGTGTTTTGCATAAATGATAATTGTATCATTTATAAACATCAGATTTGGGGTCTTTTTAATTGTCATTTCACATGGCATCATATTTGCAGACGAAGGTAGAAGACAGTGAAGCTATTTTTGCTAAATAGTCCATATTTTTAAGGAAAAGTTTCTAGCTTCTTTTTCACCCTTATGACCTCCACAAAGAAAAATACAAGGAACAAATCTTTCATCTGATTTCAGCCTGCAATTTTAGAGGTAGCTGTCTGTACTGTTTTGGTCCATGTGTAGGCTCCATGAATTTTAGCTCCTTGGCCTCATTACTGAGGCTTCTGACCAGCTGCCAATTAAATAAAGCTACTTTTAAGCAGCTGAACTTTATCAGACCCCAGAAGAGGCTCAGGTTCTGTTTACGTTTTATGAGAGCTTTTGTCATTTCTTATATTGTCAGACCAAATGATCCATACAGTTTCCAAATTTATCTTCAAAGCACTTTCCTTTCCAGCAATAACAGTAAGAATATTCAGGGCACAGTCAAAAGTCTCTTGAAGGCTCTGCTGAAATTCCAGCTTATTTCAGCAAGTTTAGTGTTACTTGGTAATCATTATAATGAAGTTATAGACGCATAGAAGAAAAAATATACACAGCTTAAACTTCTGGAGTGGTGCAATTGACTTAACCTTAATTTACGTGGACAGTTGACTCAACATGTTGGCTATTTTGACATTCAGGACTGGAAAATCGGTAAAGACCATGCATGTTGTTTCATATAAAAATCAACCAAAATTATGACAGCTTTCTCTTTTTCTAGACATTAAATACAATTTAAGGAGAAATGTAAATAATCATCTATGTTTGTATATTGGCTAAGAAAATACATGTGTGAACTCTTCTGGAAACATGCAAAAGTAAACTAACTATGGGCGTGATTCAGCTCAAAGTTAGCACACCTACCTTTCTGTTTTACCTACATGTGTCTGTATGGAGGCTGTTTCTTTGTGGGGCTCAATACATTCATTCGGCTGGGTTTCTGTTCCCTAAATATAGGCATTTGTTATCATTTTCACCTGACTTTAACATGTTCCTCCAAAAAAAGGCTAATTTTCTGCAGGTGTCTTGGATGCCCTATGGAGGGCACCAATTGACCTCTGCCTGTAAGGCCCTAAAGAGCTATTCAGCTTGACATAAAATAGATTGCTATATTTGGTTACTGTTATACCAAGGACTTCTGACTATAATAATGAGAGCACAGAGACCTACCTCATATATATGCAGTTTTATCCTATTATTATATCCTAGAACATTAAAAATGCTCTGTTTAATAAGAAACATGGATATTACTTTTTTATATCGAAGCTTTTTTTTTAATGGATTTGAGTACTACATTGCAGTACATGTACCTAGTTAACAACTTGAAAAAAAAAAAATCTCTTTTCATGTGTGTGTAAATGTCTTTCAGGTACATCTATTGGGCATTGCAACTTTGAGTTTGATCTTTGTGAATGGAAGCAAGATGAAAACGATGATTTTGACTGGAACCTCAGAACTAGCAGTACTACAAAAATGGGCACTGGACCAGCTACTGATCATACATTGCAAGAGCCATCTGGGCATTATATTTTTATAAAGAGTTCATTTCTTCAGCTACCAGGACAGAAAGCTAGAATTTCTAGTCCTGTCCTAAGCAGAAGGAATAAAAACTGCAAGGTATGTGGGGGTGTGGTACTAGCAGGAATGCAGAATTTGATTTCTGGATTGCACCAAGATAATACTCCTAAAATAAATAAATATGATCACTGAAATATTTCTTGAGAAAAAACAAGCATGATGTAGAAGAGTCAGGGCGCAATCTTATTTCCCTGAAATTATAACGTGTATCTTGTTGTGGGAGAAGAATGAGTTCTGTAAGTAAATAAGTACTCTGGGAGATTCAGATAAAGTTGACAGCGAATGCAGTGTCTGATTTAGAATAAGTCTTATGCGACACTCACCCTAAGTAGCATACAACTATGTAATGGTTTGTGTTTTTATAGAGAAAATGTGTATAAATACAGTAACAATTGCCCTGGAAAGATTACAACTGCAAACAGAGGGAAGCATGACAGAATGCTTTGTCACTGGCTCTCCTCTAGAGAATGGAGAAAAATCAGCCTTTATTTTCCAAAACACTACAGCACATTGTAGTGAGTTGAGCTTGATCATTTCTTTGCAAACCTGGATTTAAAAGTTTTCTAGCTTTGATATATCTTTTATATATACTTTTTAATAAAATAGTAACTTGTAGTTTCATAAGACATCTTTCAGGACACATCTATCAGAATCTGCTGCAGGAACAACATGCTGAAAAGGTGAATTTTCCAGAAAGTTGAACTATGCACTACTTTGAAATGGTATTTTTCCAAATTTTCATAGTCTTTAAGTGTCAAGGCAAAAATGAGTGGTATCTCTGTGTCTAATATCAGTGTCAAACACAAAATGGAAGTTTAAACATTGATGGCTGCCAGTAATTCTATTTACTGATAAAACTGGTCATAATTTAAAAACAGTAGTTAGAAATAGAGCTAAAGAAATATCTATATATATATTATTTACCTGGAGAGGAATAGTGTGCATAAATGGAGCTGCTGTGGGAGGGGAAGTGGTACTTTTAGCCTTTGGAAAATTAGCAAAGAAAGTTTATAAAGACTTTAGAAAATTAGCAAGGCAGGAATGACTTAACATTTTCAGGGTAAATTTGGGAATGGATTTCCAGAATTGAAGAAGTGAAGAAGAATTTTTTCTGGAAGTAAAAAAAAAAAAAAAAAAAGACCTGCTGTCACACCCCAAAGTTGGAGCAACTCAGGTTCATGGATTTCCTTTGTCAGAATTAAGGTGAAACGACACCAGGGGAGTTCAAACAACAATCAACACTTATTCAATCTAGCTAACTTTGTCCAAGTACACATGAACTTATTAATATGAACCTTGCAACATGTCATTAAGCCGCTGTTTGAGAAGAGGAGGGAAGTATAGGAAAATGAAATGGAAAAAGGAACATGAAACTGTGTCAGAAGGAGAGCCCTCCCATTGAGTCACGAGGTTCAGAGCAGACCCCCTTGCTTTCTGGACTCCTTCTCAAAGAGGAGCTCAGGGGTGGCTAGATCCACTCCTAGTCTCAGACTTGGTCAATGGTTTATGTTTCAAAGGATGAGGTGTAGGGACTGTGGAGAAGAGAGAAGGAAAAGAGGGAGAGAGAGAATGAGAGAAAGAAAGAAAGAAAGAAAGAAAGAAAGAGAGAAGAGAAGGGTTTCACCAGTCCTGGGTCCAGCGTTGGTCCAGCCAGTGTAGAGATCCAGTTCCAGAGGGCATGCGCTGAGAACTCGTTCTCCCTTCTTTTATAGTGCGTTAGTCGGTGGTCTCGACACACGCAGTCCCATTCCCGGGGTTCTCTGGAATTAGTTGGTGAGCTTTGGGGAGTTGCCCCTCTTTCCCTGCTGGCATGACTGCTTAAGATAGAAGCACAGTCCCATCCTCCGTGGGGCCCCCTCCTCCAGGCGCATATGCTGTGCTCCTTCTCCTGGTCACTTAAGATAAGGAATTGCAGCTTTGGAGAAGAGTGGTCCCACCCTCCGTGGGGCCCTCTCCTCCGGCCACATTGTCCTGTTCACAAAACTCCAGCATTTTTACAGAGGCCATTTTCTCCACCAAAGTTCTTTAACGAATGTTTGAGACATTGACTATAATTTGTCAGACCATCACACCTCATGAAGACAAAAACGATGTATTAGTATATGAAGTTATTTCAACATTTGATTTGAGCAATGAATTAATCTCTCAGATAGTTAACTAAGACCCAGAACTTCATCCTAACAGATCAGACAGTCCCTAAGACTGTTTTACTCCATTCTGTGAGTTATTAGAGTTGACAGGAAGTGTGAAAAAATGTAAAGTTGTCTAAGTCATATGCCAGCCTAGAATCTAGGGTAAAGAATTTTGGAACTATTGTGAGTAAAAAGAACATTCAAGCTATTATTTTGCTAATTATTTTGCTATTAACATACGAAGATCTGTTTAACTTGG